ATATTACTATTTGCTTGTTTGTTTTCTACTAAACTTTAGAGTTAAATATAGAAAAATATATTTATAATATGAAGTTGCCTCTGGCAKAGTGATTGCTGGAGATTGGAGGATTGGGTAAAGAAAACGGCTGGATGAGAGGATGTATTGAAGCGCAACATAGTTTGGATTTTAAGTGTGGTCATCTGTTTTTGTTTTTTTTTTAATTACTGTAAGCCATTTGTGTGTAGTAAGGATGCATTTTGAAAACTCAGGAAGTCCGGTAGTCCTAAATATACCAGGCTTTAACTTAAATATTCCGTGTGTTTTGGGGTCTTTGCACTGTGTCTTTCATATTGATGCTATCTAAATATTATGATGTAACAGTTCATCTGTGTGGTCGAAGGAAACTTGCACAGTTTTTTGTGTTTGGCCAAAATGATGTTTTCGCCTAATTTTCTCTTTTTTTTTTTTTTTTTTTTTTTTTTTGTGGGAAGTGTTTTATTTTAATTGTCAACACAAACCTCAAAGGCTTACTGTGTGTAAAAAAATATATAAATGGTTTTATATAATGCATTTCAGATGTTGGTAAATAAAGATTTTTGTCTCTGTTTACCGGACTGACATGGAGAATTCTGAGCCAAGAAAACAATTCATATTCTATCATATAGAGAACACTTGTGAACAACCGAGCTGTTTGACATAAAACCACTAGTGAAAAAACAATTAACAGGCTGCATTGTAATTTATTTGGTTCTTAGAAATTCAAACTTACTAAACAGTGYTTAAAAAAGTTAATTTTCAAAGCAGAAATGAAGATTTGTTTGAAAATGCCCTAAATGTGTGTTTTTGTTTTGTTTTTTTACTTTTTGGTTGTTTTAACTTTAAAGAATGGGATCAGGAGTATCCTTATTCAAGGCCAGTTTTGTATAACGCCCATAAGATGCTCTTAAACTTTGTAGACAAGCTTTTGTTTCTTTGGGATGGGGAGGGGGGAGTTTTGTCAGTTTTTTGCTTTGTTGTGTATGGGCTCGTTATCAMTTTGAAAAATATGTACCAGACAAAAGTTTGGTACCTACAAAAAAATGCAATTGTTTTTTATGTTCTTTTATGTGTTTTAAACCAAAATAAACACTGGATTTTCTTTAAGTATATCTGTATTTGTCTTTTTGTAAGTCTTGACAGTGCATTGCCTCAGTTTTTATTTTGGAGTATTAGCTCCAGTCTCTCCCACATTGCATCAGTTTAGACCCCCACGCTCTAAATTACGAGGTTTTAACATTCCATCTTTCATGTTGGCAATTTTTATTTGTTTCCCATTATGCCCTGCAATAGTGCCAGCGTTTTACTTAAGTAACGCTTTCAAGTCCCAATTAAAGCTACTTTTACATCCTGTGTGTTCTGCAAAACAAATTAAACATCCTCAGTGTTCTTCTAGCCTTTTTTTAGGGTCCTGAGAACTGAAATTTTGAAAGAAAAGAACCTCTCGCTAGGATGTAAAAACATGTAAAACAGAAACATGAGATTTATGTATTGCTCTTAGTCAAGCCACAGGCCTGCTCAGATACTTTTAATGTTTTAATCCAACATGTTTTTTTTCAAATTTCATAGTATGTACAGTACAACTTGGTGTATTGAGTGTTTTTAAGGTACAAATTAAACTCAATGGATTATATATGTACAGTTTGCCTCGTTTCCATACTGAAGGCTYTGTGTGGACTGATCTACAATCCAACTGATTTTAAGGAACAATTGAGTCCTTGTTAAGGTTCCACATAAGCAAACTTAATATTATACGTAACCTGGTGTCCATTGTCCCACGCGTACAAAACACCCTCCCTGGGGTTGTAGTCGATCTGTGTGGTGTAGGTGTAGTTATTGATGAAGGGCATTCTGGGAATCATCTGAGTGTTCGTGTGCGTGTCYAAGGCATACTCCAGGTTTGCGTCCCTTCGGTTATAGCTGTCAACAGCATACAAGACGCCGCACACGATGAAACAGTTCCCAAAATAATTTCGTCTGAGCCCGGTTCTCCAGGTGGTCTCCCTCTGCATGCTGAGGTCCGAGGGGTTCAGCCGGCGCAGAACGACCACCTCCTGTAAGAAGCCCTCGTCGTCCAGCGCCGGGTAGATGATCCAGAGGCCGCTCTCGTCCACAGCGAGCTCGATGTCCGAGTGGCTGCGCCATTCCCACGGCGACGAGGACTCCTCGAACAGGGCATCGTGCAGCATGGTCCAGGCGGCCACGACACGCTGCCGCAGGTCAAACTTGATGATGTCACGGGAGAAGGCCCGGTTGTAGTAGAAGGCTCCATCGTAGACCACATGGCCCGTGCCAATCCAGTTGTAAGGAAGCTTGTAGGAGTTGGTGAAGCGGCCTTAAAAAGTGGACAGTCGTGATTTGTACAGAAGGACAAACWAGAGAATGTTTTCTACAAACCAGTGGTGGAAACATCTAACCAAAACCTTGAAGCTGAAGACTGGTGGGACTGACACAAACCTATTGTTAGTTTTCRATTGCTCTAATTTGAAGGTGGGTGGGATCATCTGTGGCAAATCGGCCAATCCAAACCGGAGTTATAACTTATAACCTAACCCTAACCGACATACAACCCTAATTCCAATGAAGTTCGGACATAGTGTACAACATAAATAACAGAATGTGTAAATACTTTTCCATCTATATTCAATTGAATACACTACGAATACAAGATATTTAATGTTCAAACTGATAAACTTTATTGCTTTTTTTCAAATATTAACTCATTTTGAATTTGATGCCTGCTCCATATTCTAAAAAAATCTAAAACAGGGTCACTGTGTTAAATCACCTTTCCTTTTAACAACACTCAATAAGCATTTGGGAACTGAGGACACTAATTACTGAAGCTTTATAGGTGGAATTCTTTCCCATTCTTGCTTGATGTACAACTTCAGTTGCTCAGTGGTCTCCATTGGTGTACTTTGCGCTTCATGATGTGCCACACATTTTCAKTGGGAGACAGGTCTGGACTGCAGGCAGGCCAGTTTAGTCCCCTAACTTTTACTAAGAAACCACACTGTTGTAACATGTACAGAATGTGGCTTGGCATTGTCTTGCTAAAAAAAAGCAGGGACATCTCTGAAAAAGATGTGGCCTGAATGGCAGCGTATGTTCATCCAAAACTTGTAGGTAGCTTTAAACATTAATGTTGCTTTCASAGATGTATAAGTTACTCATGCCATGGGCACTAACATACCCCGATACCATCAGAGATGCTAAATGAGAAGTTAGTTCTGTTATTAGTGAATTAGTGGAACTGTGTCCACCACTGCTACAAACCTATGAGTTGCTTACCTTGTTTAAAAACTTCCAGGTTGTTGAACTCCAAGAGGTTTTTGCCGTAATAGAAGTCTGTGACATAAATTTTGTTGTCGGCAGACTTTGGATCCTTCATCCACGCTCCCTCCTTCTTGCCGTAGGTGTTGTGAGTGACTGGTTCAGAGATGCTTGCCAAAGTGTCCTTGCATTCCCCTAGAGAGGCATAGGAAAGTTAAATCTGAAACGATTAAAGGGATCCCCGATTAGTTGTAACATTAGACTTTATTTGATAAATATATATTTTAACTGTAAAATAAAGACTGTAAAAATACTGTAGGCTGTATAGTTTTGTAAAATTTTTAAAATATATTACACGGACTGAGCCATTTTATTTACACACAAAACATTGTGGGTAAATGATGACGTGGATAAGTTCTCGTTGTGAGCGAGCTATATTCACTCTGAAGGTTAATCTTGGACAATATCTGATGATTGGCTCTTTTAAATGAAACCAGAGAGCGTTGACAGAGAGGAGAAGGTAGAAATGACTCAGCCTGTAACTGAAAATATAGATGGAGGACAACAGAGCTGCTTCATGGAAGAAGAACCTCAGCTTAGCCTGCTTACGTTAGCGCTGACGCTATATTGCCTTATATATGTATTAGCTCAGCACTAGCGTGACAAACTAACAAGCTAAACTGAGGTCCTCCATCCTTATTTTCAGTTGCAGGCTGAGTCATTTTTGCATTCCCCTCTCTGTCATGTGGATGGAGGACCTCAGTGACGAGAGGAGAATGTGTAGCACTGAGCTAATACATATATATGGTGATAGCGCCGGGGCTAATGCTAAAGCTAACAGGCTAAGCTGAGGTTCTTCTTCCATAAAGCAGCTCTGTTGTCCTCCATCCATATTTTCAGTTACAGGCTGAAACTTAGTTACTCAGTTACTTATCATTTCTACCTTCTCCTCTCTGTCAACGCTCTCTGGTTTCATTTAAAAGAGCCAATCATCAGATATTGTCCAAGATTAATCTTCAGGGTGGATATAGCTTGCTAGCAGCCTCGCACCATGGACCTATCTACGTCATCATTTACCCAAAATGCTTTGCATGTAAATAAAATGGCCCTGTCCATGCAATATATTTTTAAACTTTTAATTTAAAATTTATAAAAACTAAACAGCCTACAGTATTTTTACAGTCTTTATTTTACAGTTAAAYTATATGTTTATTAAATAAAGTCTAATGTTACAACGAATCTGGGATCCCTTTAACTGCTTAAATCACACGAATAAGTGAGGTTGACATTGGGAAGTAAATGATGATTTTACAAAGTTAGATTTTCTACGTGAAAAACATGAAATTACATCTGTCCTTTTTAAAAAAAAAAAAGACTTCGTAATGACCACAGGGGAAAAGATTATTTACCAGATTTTCTTGAGGTTGATTTTTCCTGCCTTTGCATTGGTTCACCTGCGTCCTCCACTTTTACTTTTTCCCATCTAAATTTGTATTTCTTTTTGACCTGAGCAGCCTGTTTGGTAATTCTTGGCATTTCTGTTGTAGTAGTTGTGAAAACCGGTGTACTGGTGTCAATACGCAAAGTTGAGCTTGAAACGTTGGTGGAGTTGGTATTTTCCTCTGTTGGCGTGGCATCAGTCTGTGTGGAAGTAATAAACGTGGGGTAGGTTAGCCGGCTGGTTGGTAAAGCCACTGCTGTGGGGTTTAATGGAATAGTGCTTGGGTTAGCTGCTGAACTTACATGCATGGTTTGGGTTTGWTCTGTTAGCTTAAGGCTAGAGGTTGCCATCGTAGTGATGGGTGAGTATTCTGGTGTTTCTGTGGGATTATAGGAAGGTTGGGTCCTTTCCTTTGGAGAAACACTTGGAGAKGCACCTGCTGGTTCAGTCATAGGATCCGGCCTCCTGGTGACCCTGTCTGCAGCAACACTTRGACTAGTTTGAGACCTCGTATCTGCGTGTATGGCTCTGGTTGGTCCAAATGTGACACTTCTCGTGACAGATTCATCTTGTTGTACGTCTGCAGACACTTTAACTGKCTTGGTTTCAGGGATACCTATGATCTCATTGTGAGACTCGAAAATTAGCTCTGTTTTTTGGGGTTGTTTTGATTGGCTGCTTTTCTTGTAACTGCGCACAGGGCCTGTCGTCTTCTGTCGGAATGATCTCAGGCCCACTCTGGTCCTGGGCCGAGGCGCACGGTGAAGAAGAAGATTCTCTTCAATGAGGAGGTTGACTGGACCGTCGCCGCTGAATCCATCGTATTCAAAAACTAAAATCAAAACAGGAAGATTCTATGAAGTCCGAATGCCATGAATGAAAACTAATGACACATCAACGTATGGATATCGATTAGTAACGCTGTCGCCTTTTCTAGACGGCACTCACAGTTCTCTCCGGGCTCTCCATCGTCAGCCACCATGGGATCAGGCTGAGATTTGTAAAAAGTCATCCCTCTGATGATCATTCCATTGTCTCCGGTCTTCAGCATCTGGGAATCTTTGGTTCGCGTGTTGTTCAGAGTCACTCGAGGTCTGACCTCAGTGACCTGAGCAGAAACATCTGCCTGTACGATGGCTGGATTTTCCACAATAAACTTCTCCTCGTACTTCCCCTGTTAATGACAGAAAAAACATTTTAGGAGGCAAAATAAAAATCATTTTACAATTAAAATGTCCAGATCTTTTTGTTCATATTTTTTGGCATTTTTGTTTTTWAGATCCTTAGCTGTACTTTCCAGTGTTTCTTTATTCCTCAGTGTTTATTCTTGTGTGTTTTGTCCTCTCTGCTCTWGCCCTGCCCACTGTCACCTGTTCCTCGTTGTCTCTTCCCCAGGTGTTTGTGATTTATGATCATTAGTGTTCCTTTATATTCTGTCCTTCGCTTTGTTCCTTGGTTCTGCATTTTGCTTTCTACAGACAAGTCTTGATTTCTTCCTCATGTGCCTTCCTGTGTTTCCGAGCATTTTTTTTTGTAAACAGACCTGCTGCCACGTCAGCCATTTTGTAAATAATTTGTTTTGTACTTCAGTCTGCCTCACTCTGAAATCATAACATAGAGCAAATTAGACTAGACGAATATGAAAAACTAATACATATTTCTTGTAAGAAATTTCTTGGAAATCGAACATGGTATTTTTACTTTTTATGTGATTTTGACAATAATTATACATTGTTAGTTTAACAACCTCCCRTTGGCTGTGATATCAGGTGTTTTTCTCACCTCTGGGTTTTGATATGCTGCTGCCCTTCCGACCTCGCCGAGTCTCTTTTCATCTTGATGCTGACGAGGAAGAGGAGTGGGTGGGTTTTTGGTTACTTCTGTCRGGATGAGAGGACTCTCCTGAGGCTTTGCCTCCTCTGCAGTGTGGTTCAAAGACACCACCTTCATCAAGACGAAGACAAGTTAAGATACAAACAAGATACATTGAAGGTTTTAAAGAAAAATGGACAGAATAAATGTATAAAGTTGACCTTTTAGTCGTTTTGATTGACTTATTTTGAGCACTTTGGCAAGTAAAAAGTTTTTTTTCTGACATCAACTTTTGCTATTACATCATACTTGTAGCGCACCCTTACCAGAATGCAAACACACCAAAACAACTGATCAGAATAGACATGATTACGTTTCTCTGACAGATAATTCATTCCAGTCTTTCTAACGTCAGCGACTCGATGCGACATTAATGCTTTTAAAGGATACAGCTCATTATGACTGTACGTTAAATCAGTCTGCCAAAGATTACCAGTTAATTCACTGCAGACTCCCAACATTTTCAAATAACACCATACAGTGCAAACACTTTGAACTGTCGTCTGAAAGTTGCTTCGGTATTTACAACACGCACTTAAAGCTCCATTCAGTTTTAATTTGAATCATCTTTAGAAGTCTGACTCCTCTCTGCAGCCAAGGCAAACCCTTCATGCGGTTTGTACTGCACCTGTTAGGGCTTTGATTCATGATGTGGATTTGATTTGGGGACAGAACAATCGCAGCTGCTCTCTCTATGAAAAGAGCTGTCATCAGCCACTCTGTAAACAATGAAAGTGGCRGTAACATGTAGTCCTGGATGATGACTGGGAAAAGGTCAAAATGGTTATTTATACATGTAATTTTCCYGTCAAATTTTGCTCTTCCTAAAAGATTATTTTAAAATAAAATAAAAATCCTCATTTGTGATTTCCATTTATTTCTTAAATGAAAATTATGCATAAAAGACTAAAAATGAATGCTGCTGATTCCATGCCACATCTTCCAATTACACAGGTCCAAACCCTGTCCTAAAGCAGGGTTGTCTATTCTTAAAAGTAAGTGCATGTACATGAGGTTAAACAATGGAATAATCTAGATTCAGGAATAAAATGTGCAATAAAAATCTGAATATAAAAAATTATTGATAGTTAGGATTACTTTAAGAAGTGTTATTATTATTGTGTTATTAGATATATTACAGGCAGTGCAATACAAACATTTCTATGTAAAGTATGTGTCCCAAGAGCRAACTCTGGTAGGCCAAGGTCAGAGGCCAAGGTCCCCACCCATAATGCACCTCTTTAACAACCATCAGCTCGTGCATTATTCCTTCTGCATTGGGTACCTTTTCAATGTGATCCACACGCTTTAGAAGCTTATTGGTCAGGGAGTGCAACTTGAGAAGATCCATTCCATAGAAGGAACCCTCCAGCAGCTCCAGGATGGTGGACAGCTGCAATGATCAAGTAGATTCTGTCAAATGACCATTAACCCATTCCTGATGTTTAAAACAGGCTCATCCCTTTCCAACTGAGTCTCTGTTTGCATATTTAAATGAAAGCTTATAATCCATGTTAATGTCTCAGGTGATCCAGAAGCGGCTCTAGACTGGACTTCACCTTGACATTCTGATTTTCAGCCTCCCTGAGCTTGTTGAGCCTGAACTCTCCCTCGCAGGGGTTGACAGCGGATGGCGGAGCGACACATGCACACTTGCAGTCCGGTCCAGAGGTGATGGTTTCCACCGTGTAGAAGTCCTGCTCCGTGGCGCTGCCTTCTTCTATCCGCCCACAGGCGCTCCTGCTCAGGGGTCTGACAACACATTTACACCGACAGTCAGAGCCTTCTGACAGGGCTTTCACTTTGTCATAATCACCAAGCAGCTACAAAGAAAAAAGGATGGATGGTTTTTTTCTCTCTCTCCACCAGGTTTAATCAAAGATTTTATACACTAATAACTTAAAAAACACCTACCTTAGAGAGGATGCTCTCCTGACCTTTCATCTCCTCATGCAAACCTTTATTTTGCTCTGCATTGATTTCAATTTGAGACCTCAGATCTGGATCCAGGAGCTTTGGGGCTGCAGAGACCTGAGAGGAAAACCCGCAGCACAACACCAAAACCAACAACTTCAACATTTTCTGAAGGCTCCAAAAAAGTTCAGCAAAAATTTAAAAAGAAAAAAAAAAGGAAAATGTCATCCCCTTTTAGTTGAAAAAAGTGCATTAATAAATAACATCAGGTTAGCTTACGTTTTGTAACGTAGGAGGCATGTTTTAGACTGAATGAATGAAGCTTTTAAAAAAGTTGCACCCATGAGAGAGGAGCTCCGGCATCTGCAGCTGGGAGACTGGATGGGAGGCGGATCTGGTCCCACAGGCGAGGAGGAGTGACCCTGGAACACAGGAACACCCAGGGACAAACTTTACAAGAAGAGTTTTATTTTACTTTACTATATATGTAGAGAGTCTAAAATGTCACTTTGATTTTAGAATACATGTTCAGTTTGCAGTCATTTGCCTCTTTCTGCTGCTCCTCAGTCACATCAGAACATGTTCAACTGAGGTTGTGCTGCCCTCTAGTGTTCAAATCTATCTATCTATCTATCTATCTATCTATCTATCTATCTATCTATCTATCTATCTATCTATCTATC